CACACAAAGACACACAAAGACAAACAGACACAGTATATTCTCTTATTCACTTTGAGAAACACAATGCAGACATGCACACACAGGTTTGTGCAGCTATCCTTGGACATTCCATTCACTTTATTTATTATCGACACTTAAATTCAACCTTAAACCTTACCCTAAACTTAATTAGCACCTCGACCCTAACCCAAACCAGGATCTCAGAAATGAGCTTTTGGCCGCATTAGGACCGGTCTTTGGTCTCCGTGATGACAAGGTGTTAATACCACAACAGGTCCCCAATAGGTAACAAAAACGCACACATGTGTATCCTGTCATCTTGCGCTGCAGGAATGGTAGAGCAGGACAGGAAGGAAGAGAGGGAACAAAAACAAAACCAAAGAGAGAAATAAATAAAGTGACACTGGGTTGTGTCATCCGTCTTTGATCACAGAAACAAGAGGATCCTTCATCCATCGGTACCTCGTCCTCCAACATGTTCCATCAGACTACATTAGCACTTCACTACAAACTGGACTTGTCCAACTCTGAGCCAGCCAGGGCACAGAGACAATACATGAAGTGTGTTTATGCCACTTAATAAACTTATTAAGCACTTAGTCCAAATTAACTGACCTCATATAAACAATTAAAGGGTATCTGGTGCATCTGCTTTCTGAGAGCTGAATATAACGCTTTTTAAGATATTCATAATGACCTGAAGTATGATTAAAGGCCATTTTAAAAGCAAAGTAAAGACATAAAGCTGTTATTGTATTGCTACTGGAAGCCCAATGTACAGTAAGGGGATATTCAGAAGACAGTCATTGTCTGGTGAACAATATAATAGATTTTAGCAACTATTTAAATGGTCTGTGTAAGTTTAAGTGTAAGTTTAAGACTTTTCATATTTCACCAGCCTATACCGGACATCTCTGAATGAAAAAACAGCCGCTATCACATAAACATTCTAGCAGTCTTTCCATGACAGGCCAATACTGTAAAAGAAGTATAACTATAGACAGAAACATCAACAAGTGACTTTACTCTTCAACTGACAATTCGCTAAGCCCTGACACACACACAGGCTTTCCCTTCCAGCACTACACATAACAACATAATGCAATTTACCGTGATAATGGCAGATTTACCAGTCTACACTCACAGTCATTTTCAATTTCACACAGAAGTAAACACAAGCAGGTTTCTCATTTCTAGCCAATTAGCCAGTGTAAGCTAATTCTAATGCTAAATTTCCACAAGTTGGCTGACTGTGCTTCCAGCTGATTTGTTTAAAAACAAGAACTTAGCTAAAAGAGGCGCCCGGTTAGCTCAGTCGATAGAGCTGTGTGCCATCCCCTCCCTCTCTACCCACCTTTCCTGTCGATCTTCAGCTGTCCTATCCAATAAAGCCATGAAAAGGCCCAAAAAATTACTTAAAAAAAAAAGAATGTAGCTAAAAAAATAAAGCTAAAGCCAAATGTTTCAAGCAAGAAGTCAGCATCCTCTCCAGCAGAGTATATCATGTATTTCAAGGTAGTCAGAAATAAAAAGGAACCCAACCCTTGAATAACGCTTGGAGCAGAAAAACATACCTGGACAAGCAGCACAGAGGTCAGATACTTTAGTGTTTACTGTATATTTAAACAGCATACTTCACTCTCACAACAGAAAAGGATTTGCAAATGAGAGATACTCAGTGAGTTTGACAAATGTAATGCAATTCAACAGTCTGGCTGTGGTTGCTGGAGCGTAAACCTCGCCAAACCAAATAAAGAGCAGGAAAGAGCTTCTATTAAATTCTGATATAGCTGCAACTGGGTGTCCACACAGAGGATGTTCCAGTCCTGAACAGGTGTTTTTCTAGCGCAACTGTTACCACATATAATAATGAAGTTAGTGAATGACATACACTTTCAAAAATAATGCTATGATAGAGTAGTTGCTGTGGCGTTCTAACGTTTGCAATGCATGTGAGAGAAGATAAACCCACACTCTACAACTGCTGCATACAGCGATATAAATGATTTAATTATCAAATGTTTTATATTTTTGTATGCCCAATCAAGCATTCAATTGTTGC